TAAGAGTGTAAGACTAGAGGGAAGGCAGCTAGTCATCACCACCCACCGCAAACTCTTGGGCTACTCTTTTATCAACGAATAGTGGGATTGACCGTCACATTATACACCCCCCACAGCTGAAAGAGCGAGCATGTTTGGTATGACGGGGATTCGAACCCGCGACCCGCAGACTGCGAGTCGAGCTCCCTAACCACCTGGCTATGCCGGGCCGGCTTCACGTGTATGACAGGACTTCGTGAGTTCGAGTCCTCGTCATTGAATATGCTCGCCTTTTCAGCCGTTATAATGTGACGGTAAATCCTACTATTTGTGGGAGCACAAACGTTAGTGATGTTGACTGTCTTCCTTCTAGTCTATCGCTGCTAAATTATGGATGACTAACGCAGATTGCCCTCGAGTAGCAGTAGCTTTCCTCGGAATTCAAAACAAACTAAATCAAGCCGGGACTTCGAGAGTTTGCGTCATTCGCCATCACTAAAGCAGAAGCAAGGAAGAAAATTCAAATGGCTGTCAACAGGGCTATACCGCGGATAGCGCGAGAGGTGCATTCGCACAGGGCGCCAACTCGAAGGAGGGCGCTGATTGCTCGATTGACTAACAAATCGAACTAATGGGATGAGTCTATGTCTATGTATATGGCAGTTATTATAACTGGTGTAAAGTTAATAGTTTAAAGAAAAACTAATCACATTAATCACCAATGGTATTCGAAGATTACCAATCCTCTTTTACACTGCTTGAGGTTAAAGGTTAGAAGTTCGTAAAGTGGTCATTGTTCTAACGGGCCAAGTTGGCGAAAAAAAAAATATATATAAATCAAAATTGAATGCACATATATATATATATACACACATATACATTTATATGCACACATTCACTGGTGGTAATATTGAGGCAAGTGGGCAGAAGTGATGAGTTTGGAGCGCCGAATTTATATGTCGCACAGGGGGCCCTCAAACATCGCTAAGACACTGGCTGTCAAACTCGCAAAAATGAGAAAATGTACAAAATAAGTGGTTTTAGAATCTTTCCAGGGTATACCCAAGAACTCTTGAAAGTTTCATTGTGATCAAAGGTCTGGAAGTTGGAAATATTTTCTTCACGGACAAAGGAACAGACATACAGATAAACCTCTTAAATTATTATATAGATTTATACCGAAGTTTTAATTGGACACATACAATTAACCAGGATAATAAGGACTGCAAACTTATTGAGCTCCACGTGATAGCATTCGTTCTTTGAATCAGTTTTCTGCTTGTAAAGCTGTGTATAAAAGTAGAGTTGTTATATTGTAAAAAAAGACATGTTTAATATGAAACCTAACAAGGAACGCTATTTTCTAACCTGTTAGTCAGAAGTAAAATAAGCTATTGACGGTTACTGCCATGCTAGGTTTCTTCTCAAACCAAACAGAGTTGAATGATCGTTCTTTGTTACACGTGTATGATTTTGGAAACTTTTTTAGTTGTTAACTAAATAAAACTTTAGTTGAATCCTCGTGTGCGACGGTAGCAAACATTTAATTCTTGAACGTTTTGGAATATTTTCACATATTCAAAAGTTAAATGTTTGTTACCGTCACACACGTATCAGTGTTTGTTGCCGTCGTACTATTATTCATCACTAAACAACTTTACAGGTCAGAGCTTCCTACATGCCCAGCCTATAAACTGTTGTGTATTTTTACTATGAAGTAACTGTTATATATCTCTACTACTTACTTGTCAAGATCTCTCTGGCCCTCTTGTGTGAAAATGTCTAATAATTTTGGCCCACTTTTGTCAACTGATGACATGGATTTTAATATCCACTGAGCGGAAGTACCAAATGCTTGCGCCACTTCCTGGAACTGTTGACGTTGTTCCGGCAGCGAAAAACAAAGTGGCATTGGTTGTTGTCGCATGGTGGCTGCAAATATGTTTTGTTAAAAGTTAAGAGCTGCTAAATGATAATATCAAGACTAAAGATTTTAACTTTTGCACTAAATTAAGATAACAAAAAAGATCCTAGAGTAATAACTATTCAACACTTAGGGAATTTAGTCAAATGAACATATCGCCAAAAGTTGGAATAATTTAAAACTACAGTAAAACAATGCAAGAACAACAAGTAAATATACAATATTACATTGCAACAACAACAACAACAGATAAAAACAAAAATGTTATAGTGACAACGTAAGGCACATCTAAAATTACACATTGGTTCTAGATTAATACAGTGGGACAACGGCAAGTCTTCTAAAATCAAACACTGAGACCATGTCGGGTGCACATACAATAGCATGTTGCAAAAATGGCTCGCGAGTCTACATTAATATGTTGCGACAAGAGCATTTGATCTAAAATAACACATTGTGACAATCGCAGGTGAACCTACGCAATAACATACTGTACCAAAACATGTGCACATACTATGAAATGCTACAACAACGGCACAAGGCTTTATTTACACTAGGTCAATGTGACAACGGTAGAAATATCAACATGGATACATTGTAACAACAGCAGGTGCATCTACAATAAAACGATTGAATAAGATGTGTGCGCATATATTATAAAACAATGCGACAAGGGCCCTAAAATAGTGTAACAAGGGCAGATACATCTACAAGAACACTACACATATCTATAACAAACACAATTTTAACAACATTAAATGAATCTTGTGGTTCGTTGATATATCTAACACAACATTCGAGAGGCCAGAAGAGTACGTTTCCTGCTATAAAATAATCAAATCTGAGTCAAGACTAAGCAGGAAAAAAAAACAACATAAAAACTCCTAACAGATATAACGCTTAATTCTCTAAAGTGGAATCTCTAGTGCTCTAGTTTTTGAAACCTAATTAGTTATAAACATTGAAGAAATCCGCTTTCTTTTAAACGTGACAGCAACGAGTTAATTTGCAAAATAACGTTTTCTTTATTTTCTTTCAATTTTTTAAAGCGAGAAGCACTTAATTTGTGAATGGAAGCGTTGAGAAGTATGAACCGTAAGATCCAAGTATATGAGGGATTTGGATACATTCCGAATCAAGTCGATACTGAAGTATCTTTAGTCTATCGATTCTGAAGCTTCCTCTCCTAACTCGCACCTGATACAAATTAGCATATCGAGATTCTGTTTTGCGTTGATGGAATTCGTCGTCTAATAGATTAAATACATTATAATCAGTTACTTGTGAGGTGGAGAACGCAATACTCTACGTTCCCAATTTCAGAACTGCAGAGATAAATATTGTTAGCAACTAAAAATGGAAGCGGTGATAAATAAACTAAACTCCTAGATCAACATGAGCAGAAAAGCACATTATTCTTGAGATTCTTCGTCTTGGAGGAAGAAAAGCAATAATTTTATCAGCGACCCCTACTACTGTTTATGCAAAACTAGGTGGTAATGTGTATACTGTCTACCGTTCGCTAGTCGAAGTCGCCGATTAGCACAGTGACGATCCATGAATATAAATGTCATTATTTAGAAAAGTCATTCTGCTATAATTATTAAACGATTTAAGACATATCTCTAGCAAAAAATATTTTGCAAAACCATTACGTGATGAACCATGAAAAGTTGGCGTAGCAGCTATGCTATGGACAAGTTTACAACGTGACTCATCACCACCGGTCACTGCACGTGTACAGAAGCTTTATAAAGTTAGGCAACGCTTCAGTTTATTGTAAAATGACCTTAGGGTAATTTAACTATCCACACGATGGTATACACAGTAAGTTAATCTAAACCGTTATTTGATAAAAGTCTCTGTGTGTCCGCTTATAACTGGCGAACCGCTGTACCGTTAGTTATTAAGCCTGACATGTGCCCTTAGTGACCACCAGAGAGTGACAATGGAATCTGCATTCGAATTTGACCTACCTACCTAATGCCTTTTCCGTGTGTCCTATAATCTTTGTAGGCACAAGGAATGAAACTTAAGACTTCAACAACAAAACTCTACTAATCTTTGTAGGCACAAGGAATGAAACTTAAGACTTCAACAACAAAACTCTACTAATCTTTGTAGGCACAAGGAATGAAACTTAAGACTTCAACAACAAAACTCTACACTGATAGTAGAAAATTCATTCATCTAATGTAACGTAAAGAAAAACCCCAAAAAACTCCACATATTATTTTTCTTTAATGTAACGTAAATAACGACTTAAAACACCTTACATATTATTTTCAACAGGGTCTTGCTAATGAATTAGGTTAAAACGTTGCCCAATGTTTCCCGAATATTGTTATAATCAAATATGTATAAGTGTTCACATTTACGTAACTTGCCAAATATAACCACAATTACTTTTTACGACATGAAACATGCCCAATAAAATAGCACATTACTATGGCTATGTTTCACCTTTACTATATGTTTAGACGCTCAAATCCGTGGGTCAGGTTCCCCACGGTGGACACAACAGATAGCCCAATGTGGCTTTGCTCTAAAATAAAGAAACAAAAATAATCGACTATAATATTGTCTCACCTGACATCTGTTTTCCTTTCATCATGGTGGAACAAAACGCTTCTTTCTTCCACAAGATACCCTGTAACCCCGGGATGCGATTAACCTGTTGTGAATAAAATACACGGTTTAGTCACATATGTTTATATCAGCTGTAACTAATCACATCCACATGGAGGGCCGTGGGTATTATCGGCTCTAATATGATGATACACAACTTATATAAATATACATGACCGCATAATAATAATACACTATTTTATAATTCTGGGTGGTTATTTTCCATTAGTTTTGTCAATTACATCTTCTATTTCCTGGCTCCGTTTTCTTTATATTTACCTACTTTGTCTGTACTAGCAACGATGTAAGCATTTTGATAATAACAAAAAATACATAACCAGGCGCGGGTTCACACCGTTGCATACAAGTCCTATGTGTAATTCATTCAGAGCAGTTCGAAAAGAAAGAAACAACAGGTAATTATCATCCCTGTGTAGAATGCCAAGAACGTGAAGTATGATTTAAGTCAGAGTGATTAATTCTTGTAGAATAGAGCCCAATTGTCAGAAAACTGATTTTGTTGTTTCAATCTTTCAATACGTTGCCAGTATTTTGAAGATCTTCAGAATATGTGGACAACTTTTTTTTTCTCCTTCGAAAAAGCATATCATTATTGTTCTAATGCCATTAACTACTAATGTTAGTGAGAAATGAGATAGTCTTAGCAGCATTATCGGAATCATCTGTGTTAACTCTTACCTTATAAGTGGTTAAAAATCATAAAAATGTTTACAATATGTTGAGCAGCAGTTCTAAAGAAAAAAACCCTTATTTTTGCGATTAGAATTAATTAAGAGAAAAATTCTCCAAGCAAACAATGAATATAATGACATCCACGAAATCATAAAGATTTAATTAATTTGTATTACAGCGTCAGGCCTAATTCTCGCACACGTTGTGAGGAAATGTCTTTAAACCTGACGGAATATTTTGAATCTTACCAGCACACGGAACACCTGAACTAGAAACATTTTTGAATCAAAATTACACATTTTGTTGCGCATTAGCAAATATTTAATTGAATTAATTACCAGTGTTGGAGAACCACATACATGACTGAAATCTATCTTGAGAATACTTCAACAATCGATTCAGATTGTGCCAGCAAAGTTACCAGGTATACCAAGTTTCTCAGAGTTTTAGTAATGCATGTGATTTTTTGTCACCCGGATGTCTCTTTGTGGTCTTGAGTGTCATAAAGTTCTACTTATTTTATTTGTGACTCAATGTTGACGTCTTCCACACTTCTCACATGCTCACTAATCCTCATATTATAGCCACTACTGTACCCAGACGTGATAAAACGACGAGGCAGCTCCAGAAAGTACTAAAATATTCCAGGGGTATTTGGACCCTTTCAGAAGTATGGTAATTTGGAACAGTCTTCTTTTATACATAAATACATAAATTTTGAAACACAATAAATAGTTTGGTTACATCAGATCAGGTTGACAATATATAGAAAAACAGCAATATCAAATCTTTGTTTAAAGCAAAGCACAAAGCTACACAAAGGGCTGTCTGTGCTCTGCCCACCATGGGTATCGAAATCCTGTTTCTAGCGTTGTAAGTCCGCAAACATACCGCTGTGCCACTGAGGCGCAATTCTGTTTGTTTATTTTTGTAAAGTAGTTCGATACTAATCTAGCACGCTTCATGTTTGCCAGTCTTTATTCAAACTTCAAACTTTGAAATCTTCATTTCGTAAAATTTGTCTCCTCCCCTTCATTTTGATAATCAGATAGCCCACTGCATCGTGCTTAAGGTGAACTAATATGCATCCTCACTTTATAAAACCACGGGCGCAAGCCTAGCGAATTGATTAAACATTGAAGAACTTGTTAAAACATTCTCCAGCATTTGACGTTTACGTTCGTCACAGCCAGTGTCTCCATAAGTATATGCGAAACTACAGAGTAGTATCTGAGGCCATGATATGACGCAACTTTCAGCCACGTCTATCACAACAATGAAAATTTATTTTTATTTTTTACTGTTTTCTTTATAATTCTTTCATTTCAAACTGAAATGATTTCACCAACTCTTTGTTCTTGCCATTCAAATGGAAATTCTGTTTGTTTGTTGTTCGCAACACTTCTGCAAACTTTGTTGGTTATGTGGGGTGATTAGTTTCAATTATTGTGAAACACAACAATAGCGACAATAAAATTTGGGGTCTTGTACTATAACTATATTATTCTAAGATGTTGCTGTTAGACTCATCTCTCCAGGTTCCATTCGAAACATACTTTGTTTTTCTCCTTCTCCACTACGTCAACGTTATGTACACGACCATGATAACTTAAATGTACAACTGTATCAAAAAATGTCTTTGACAGTAATAAGCTTTCTGAATGACTTGGCTTATTTATCAAATAAGTTCTTAAGAGCTTTCACGAGCCTGGCAAGAGTCAACAATCTCGGTATTTCTAAGAACCATGGGGTAAGCAAAGAAGAAAATGTTATAATTTGTCAACCATAGGATATCTGCCATATCCAGTGTCGACGAGGTCTTTCGCTCAATACTAGGGCTCATCAGGCTGGCTGGGATACAACAGATATAGTAGTGGTCTAGGCGAATATATATATATATATATATATATATATCATCATCTGTTTTTATGAACAAACACTCTTACATAAGTTACTCTAGCTGAGGTATTCATTTGTAATACAAAATCATACCTTACAAACCACTTTCATATTCTGGTCATAAGATGGGTATTAATAAAAGTAATCCGATGACGCAGTGAAAACAGAACTAATTGTCTGCTTAATATCAGTCAGTTTCTTGCAATTTTAAAATAAAGATTAATACTTATTTTTTTGCAACGTAAGCCGAGAAAAAAAATCATATATTCTGCAGTAACGCAACTTTGTACATCTGATAAATGAAATTAATTAAAGAATGGTTTATTACTTGTCTGGAAACCCAATCTCACCTTTTGTGCTTGTGACAGGTGTTCCATTTCTTTCTTTTGTAAACAGTGCGTAAAGTCTTTCACGCTAAAGGTCATACAAAGCATCAGATGCCAACCCAGGATTCGGGAGTCGTCTGAATCTTTGAATAATGAAAAATACAAAAGTGTACAGTTAAGTTGAATCACAACGGATGTGTTTAAAATAAAAAGAGCGGTTCTAAAGGTTTTCATTAAACTCATCCATTGCTGGTGGTAGATAACAATCAAACACATATGTTATTATGGTTAATACCAAATGTTGAGCATAACATGTTAGCAGTCATACGTAGAGTTGTTCACAAAACAAATGCAACGTAAACCAAACGTTAAAAATATATTGGTATTTTGTTAAGTAACAGTGATGAACCGTTACGTTGAATGTAAAAATCTAAAGTTAGGGACAAGAAACAAGCTATGTTAAATTATTGCGAAATAATTAATTCTAATATTCCATTTGAGGAAAACGACTGAACATTCATTTTTCATAATTAAACAATTTATGAAATCAGAATATTAATTTATTGTAGTTTTAAAATTTTTGATTTTGGAATATGCTCACATTGATAATCATCTGAATTACTTTTTCCTGGACAGCATTTTGTTCGGTTGCTATTTTCCTTTTGTCTTTCATACCACATAGGTGACGCTACTAGGAAATTGTAACTTTGTAGAGTTTTCTCGTACAGTGGGAGATCACGGGAGATTACGCTGCGTTGACCCCGAACAATTGCGATTTTCTGTCTCACATGTAACACTTCTAAAGCCATCGTCTCAATCTTAATGATATTTGAATAAAATATTAACATAACAATAAGTTCAATGAATATATAAGTAACAACAACGAAAATTACAATAAAAACAGATCTAAAATGCATGCTTACAAGATTTAATGCAATTAAAAACAGTATGGAGTCGGATTAGAACTGCAACATCATGATGCTAGTTTCTATGTTTGACACATATGTGGCACCATTTCAGGTTAACACGAAGCCAGTTTTGACTGTCATTAGATAGGTTTATAGAGCTTGGAAATCTTGCTTGCAGTGTTAATATCAGCACTACAAATTAAACAGTTTTATCCTTTTTTATCCTTTGATCTATCGGACATCATAATAAGAACAGTATCTTGGTGGCAATCCCCCCCCCCCAAATAAATAAAATATCATTTTAATGGCATTCACGTTTTAGTAGTGCCGAGCTGCAGATCGAAAGATCCAAGGTTTGAGACGTGGTATCATTAAACCTTTCGCACTTCCCGCCACGGCACGTTATAAAAGTGATATTCAATCCTATTATTCGGCTCAAAGAGTTGGACCAAAGCCTTTGATGCAGCAGGTGTTGACTGCCTTTCGTTTGGTTAGTAGTTCAAACTTATCGACAGCTATATCTGAAAACTAGAGGTCTCTGACATATCCGTTTAGCCCAGATGCGCATAAGTTGCAATTCAAGTTGAAAATTCCAGCTCCACGTTTTAGCAAATGTGCAAAATACTTATCTAAGCAAGACGCACTCTTTTCAGATTAATGGCTTTAAGTTAAAACCAAATTTCAATAGCAAGATTTTTTTATAAAACGATTATCTCCACATTACTTTCTGAAAAATCTTCAAACATTTTTTTTCTAAAACAGTTGAAATTACACCACAATGACGATCACAACCCCAGCTTCCGCATGTGAATCAAAAATTGAAATATGATTACATCAGTAATGGCGGGAGTACTGTTGAGTTCTTCTTAGTTCGATGATCGATGCTTCTTAAAAACATCAGCAAAATATGGTAATTAGTGATAGTGAAGAATGCTAGTGACGAAATTATACGCTGTATTCTCAAGAAATGTTTATAAGCGTCTTTTTCCTACATTATCTTGAAGTAGGAATTAAATATGAATATATATTGGGATTGTTAGTCTTAATAAATATGATCCTAGACTTCACTGCTCGCTGTATAAAAGCAAAAGCAAATAATGATAGTAAACAATGTAGTCACCTTAGTGCACTTTTAGTTCTATATTAAGGAGCTATTGTGGATCTTCCAAGTTTATTGTCTGATTAGATTCGAACCACTTTTACAGAGGATATTTAAAAAGCGATAGACTAAGTAAGTTATAAGGATATGTGCATTATTATAACAAGCAGGAATTCCCATCATGTGAAGTTTATATCAATCAATAAACAAATATACCATCATTGTAAAAGCAAATCACAGAAATAAACCACCATTTTAAATTTGTTGCTAGATTCTGGGCTATTTTTTGAGTATAGTAAAAAAGCCTGACTCAGAAAGTATTTGCTATTTCCATCATAAATGACATCTAATGCAATATAGGTTAACAGCCAGGTCAGAGACCTCAAAGCTCAGGCACAGCTGTCCCTGATATAAAACGGATGACCAATGGGGGGGGGGGGAGAAAGAAAACACATGCAGTGCCTATCGCTACTCTTAACCGACTGTCAAGTTGTTTTCTATTTGTTAATTATATATTTCTTTTATTTAAAAAAAGTAGTTTTTCCATTTGTATAATATATATTTATTTAATTTGAATAACTAACCCATAAAAAGCACTTATAGAAAGCAACATATATCATTATGTATGGAAATAACCAATTTATTATACATGATCTAGAACTGGAAATAGAATCATATACGAGATAATTCTCAGTTATATTACCTAGCGCATGCGTGTAATGGTAGATGTGGGCTCTTTTATTTTTTAAACATATTTCCTTGTAGCTATCAAATAATCATTTCCTGATGAAACGTTGATACTGTACATTTTTCTCTTGTGTAGCTTGAGTGTCTAATTAATAAACAGCACTTTGAAAAAATTAATTGCAACACTGTACTGCTTTCAACAACTGTTAAAATTATTTGGCGTACAACTTTAGCCTGATTGGTTGAGCACACGAGTACGTTAAAAACGGGAAGAAAACACCCCATTTTACAAAAAAAACACTTAATGTTTGAACGTTTGAGTGACACCAGTCATAATATGGTTTTTATTCTGAAAAATAACTACTGTGTAATATTTTCCTCTTTTGAACACATTCACATAAAATGATTTATGCACATAAAACCTTTTTATTTGTACTGAGTTTTCTAGACCGTGGCATTTTTTTTTGCACTAAACGTTAAGTATTGAACTTATAGGCATGGCCAGGTGGTTAGGGTCTTGGCTCACAATCTGAGGGTCGCGGGTTCGAATCCCCATCACGCCAAACATGCTCGCCCTTTCAGCCGTGGGGGCGTTATGTGACGTTGGTAAAAGAGTAGCCCAAGAGTTGGCGGTGGGTGGTGATGACTAGCTGCCTTCCCTCTAGTCTTACACTGCTCAATTAGGGACGGCTAACGCAAATAGCCATCGTGTAGCTTTGCGCGAAATTCAAAAACAAACAAATATAACTTATATATTTATAGGATATATCTATAGTTTTTAAATATTTCCCCACGTATTACAAAAGAGTAAAATTACTATTTCGATATGACGTGAATATTGTAGTAAATATAAGTTTTGCAATAATATTTTTATCTTTCAAAACATTTTACATTTTCTAGTGTGAAAATATTTTCACATTGGACAAACATAAAGGTTAAATAGAGTTAGTTATTCTGACAGTATTATTACAACTCTAATATAAAACCAATGACTTCTTATTAATGTGTAAACAATTCACTCCTTAATTAAAAAATCAAAAATTTCTATTTAGTGTAAACATTTCCACAATAGAGTTGTATTTAAAGAACTTTTATCAAGATTTACAGCGTAATATAGATATTATATAAATAACAACAATATTAAGGTAAACCTATAAGAAATATAAAAACCTACTTATTCTGAGTTTATTTACCTCTAACAGAAGTTTTTCCAGCTTACTAATATCCCGAAAGGATTGACTCTCTGAAGTGTTTAGATTTACGGACTTCTTGTTTTGAGACAGTATATTCCGCTGGAGGGCGTTACCGACTCCGTCCAACGACGATAACTGTGGTCCTGGGAAAATTGAAAATGATTTAACAAGTGTAATTCGAGTTATAAAATGTGTGTGCGACAAAGGCGCCTCCAAGCTCGAGGAGGGACCAAATGATAGTTTCTGTGAGACACTTCTAGTCAATGGGGGGGGGGGGGGGAGGAGGCATGCATGCAAGATCAGCTTTATCCTCCTCAGCCTTTTTTTTGAAATGAAGCTAAGGCGCGTAATAATGACAAGTATTAGGAAAAAAATTATCGCTAAATATAACAGCTATTTATGACTGGCTATTGAAGTTGAAAAAGGAACCAAACAGGATAGGAATGAAAGTGGACATATCACCTGATCCAGCTAATGATCACATAGTAGACTAAGCCGTCTCGACTTTACATGGAGAATAAAAGTTATATTATTGGCTTCCCCACTTTGTCTATCGAGAGCTTGGTGTTTGAATAGAATCTTGGCTTTCATCATTATACCTTTCCTTTAGTTAACTTTGGAATGCTACTTTTATGACTAATTTATAATAGAATACGTTTAAAGATTGGAAATTCTGGTTGTATTTGTTTTGCCAGTGACAACGCCAGTAATGTAAGGATTTTATTCTCCATGTAAAGTTGATACGTTTTAATCTGCTATGTGATCATTAGCCTATCAAGTGATATGTCCATTTCCATCTCTATCTTGTTTATAATTTTTCCCTAATACTTGTTTGTTTACTTTTTTATAAGATGGCGTACGTGGGTTACTAGGTTATAGTGTATATTCTGTTCTAAAGCTTTATAAATTTTGCATATAATAATAACAAAATAGGTAGACAAGATCGTGAAGACTTTTTTGCTTTATCAAATGATGACAAAATTATAGTTATGCTAGAACTAGGTAGATGCTAGGCCTGTTGAATAAAGATGATGATGAACGAAAATAAGAAATCTCGGTTTTGGCTATTCGGCGGTTTTCGACTTTGAGACACTCTGGATAGCTGAAAAGCGACATATATATACCGGAGATAGAGTGACTATGCCAGGTAGTTCTTCATACAGATGAGTGCAAATTCTTATGGTTCTGCTGCACTATCAACCATCATGCACACCTTTTTATGGTTCTGCTGCACTATCAGCTTTTATATCTTATTACTTTCTGTGGTTTTGCTGCACTCTCAACCCTTATCATTTCATGTGGTTTTGCTGCACTATCAACCATTATATATTTATTATCTTATATAATTTTGGTGTCATTCTTCATAACAACTTTACTCTTTCGGATATAATTTCATCTATAGTTCTGTTTCGTAACAATAATTTTTATGGATATTTTATATTTTCTTTATAAATTATTCAAAGGTAAATTATGGTATAATTATTAAGAGGTTTTTGCTTTAACTTAAAAACTGTGTCGCAATTTTCCTAGGTGTGCATGATGGTTGATAGTGCAGGAAAACCACACAAAGTAAGGAATAATGGTTTATAGTACAATAGAACCACGGTGAGGCAAAACTACACTTTTCAATGACAATTGTTTGTTTCAGAATTTTCACGCAAAGCTACACAAGGGCTTTCTGCTCATAGCCCGCACCCCACTACTTTAGGAACTGATAGATTAGAGGGAAGGAAACTAGTCAAAAACACCCACCACTAACTCTTGGGCTACTCATGTCTGATAAAATAGTGAGATTTTACTGTTAACTCTTATAGAGTAACCAGTGCGGATCGTGATTTTGCGGCAACTGACACTCGCCATAAAATGTGGTAATTTACAGAATAACAAAAATACTTGATATATATGTGTAGATGTAATGACTCAGAATACATCACGAAATACATAAAATATCTTGACACACTGAATAGTAAAAATACGCAAGACGGGATAAAATATGGTGAAAACAACAGAGTTAGAGACGAATAATACATGATAACTGACAGAACGTCAAAAAACATGGAATGGATAAGATTTGACTGAGAGTACAATAGCAGTACACACACAGAAAACAAGGTTAACTTGTGATGACTAATAGCATAGCAGAAACACAGAAAACAAGGTTAACTTGTGATGACTAATAGCATAGCAGAAACACAGAAAACAAGGTTAACTTGTGATGACTAATAGCAGGAAACACAGAAAACAAGGTTAAATTGTGATGACTAATAGCATAGCAGAAACACAGAAAACAAGGTTAAATTGTGATGACTAATAGCATAGCGTTAAATTGTGATGACTAATAGCATAGCAGAAACACAGAAAAAAAGGTTAAATTGTGATGACTAATAGCATAGCAGTACACACACATAAAACAAGGTTAACTTGTGATGACTAATACCATAGTAGAAACACAGAAAACAAGGTTAAATTGTGATGACTAACAGCACAGCAGAAACACATAAAATGTTAAAATATCACGACTGGAATAATAACAAAAATAAGGTAAACATTAGTATCGAAATAAGTAGATATTATGATATATCATATATCATTTCGACTCCAAAACATATTAGAACTTAGAGGTGCTTCACTGTGCTGTTTGAACTCTGAAGAATCGTGATTTGTTTTTAAGTTTAAGAAAATATTTATACCGGCGAAAATTTTTGTATTATGACACTGTCAAAATAAGATACCAATATCTAAGATCCGTATCTAAGTTTGTAAAGCTGCAGTTTGAATATAAGTCAATATAACTGAAGTTTTTAAAATCAAATCCACACATGCTTTCACTTATGTAAAACATAGAAGATAAATCTTGCTACCTTTCTTTTGTTCAGACGAGCCCTCCCCAGTGGTACAGTGGAATGTCTGTGGACTTACAACGCTAAAAACCGGGTTTCGATACCCGTGTGGGTAGAGCACAGATAGCTCATTGTGTGGCTTTGTGATTAATTACAAACAAACATATTATTTAATTGTTTAGACGAATTGAACTATTGATCTCGCCTATTGGCTGGATCTCATATAATCTATTACAAAAGTGTTGTTTTAAGAATCATAAACCCGAAACAGCGACGGGACCCAGTTGATGAATTAATACATTCAACTCAAACTAACGAGTTGTTTTCCATGAGTGTTTTAATAAACAGATTGCATCATGGATATATAACATCTTAACTTGGGCCGGGCAAGGCCAAGAGGTTAGTGCGCCGGACATTAGATCAGAGAATATGGTTCGAGTCCCGTTATACCAATAAAACAATCGCGCTCCGCACTTTGGGATCATGGGTGCGTTATAAGAGTGATAGTCAAAAGCCTACTATTCGATTACAGTAGCTTTATAAAAGTTGGCGGTTGGTGTTGCTGACTAGCTGTCTTTCTTCTAGTTTATCAGTTCACAATTAGGGATGGCTAGCGCAGATGGTCTTTCAAATATCCGAAACAAACAAAATTATCTTAGCTGTAACTTTTCTGATTGGTATCTTAAAGTAAACCCAGGTAGCTAACTCAGAGTTGACATTATAAACTTAAGCATATTATATTTCAATGCGAAGTGTACAATTGTAGTTTACCTTTAATTAATAAATGATGATATTCAAGTAGTAGATTCACTTCTTGAGTGATTTGAGCTGTACTGCTTAGAAACTGCTCAGAAATTATTATTGATGGCAGGTGTATGATAAACTAGGGTTACGACCCGGTTTACTTTCACAAGCATTACAATTTTGTTGTTACTACTTTTCTCTTTTCAGGTTGACAGTCAGCACCATGGTGATAATATTGTTTTTCAAAGTTGCGTTATTGAAATACAAACCACTTTCAGAAATGCAGATCGTGTTTTTAAATATATAAATTACAGGATCCATTGAAAGTTACAAGCTTGTTAATGAGGTTTGTAAGCAGAACTTTTTAATGGTCTGTCTTTTGTCGGTAGTACGTCCTAAGATTGAAAACAAATTAAATTGCAACCTTAAAAAAAAACAATAACCATAAGCTGAACATGTCACGTTTATCATTTAATAGTTTCCTGTTATACATATTACACGTATTTTCTAACTCACAGGCCTTCTGGGACAACAGGTTTACATTTCTTTTCTGTTTAACATTTTCCCCATTTCATTAAACTTCCATCATGTATTATAATCAAATGAATATATACACATGAAACAATAGTGCTTGTTTTGTTTATCCTAATCGACTAGCTCATAACTCGTTCCTAATTTACGAGACGCTGAAGTAAATTATCCGATCTCCTAGTAATGGCCATAAATTTATTTTCTCGAAGGTTTTATATAGGTTAAATGATTTGATATTATCAACTAGTGTTTTCTCAGCTTTCATGTGTCAAGTTTAGAATTTTCCAACATAGAGTAATGAAATATACTTGCGCGGAGTTAGGTAATATCTGAGAAAAACGTGTAAAGACTACCATCTGTTACACTATTAGTAACACTAAGAGATATACATAGGCAAAAAATTAATATACTTTATGTTGTAATAGTATACACAATTTTTTACAATTTAATTTTTCATAATTTATGGAATCGCGAAGTTAGAAAGCTAATAAAATACATATAATTCACGAAAATTTCACAATCTGATCTTTGCGCATGCGTAGTGCTAAAAGGCAGTCTTCTTGAAGTTTTCGTACCCAAAAAGTATAGGGTGCTTTGAAAGTATTGCATGAATGTTCATAGTATGCATAATAGTAGCCATTGCGCCAAGTGTTAAAAGGGCAAACATTTATTTACGGCCAGGAAAATTACACTCCAATACAAATCCAAATATTTACTCACGACATTCCAAAGCAAGCAGGATCAAAATAAAAAGTCACGCATCAGAAAAGAAACACAATAACCCTAGCTCTTTCGGAAAGTGGAGTTTCCTTCAGAGATAAAAGGCAACTCCCTTTTAACCAAGAAGAGGGAAAGTCAGTTTTTCGGAAAGCCCCAAGATTATTTGGGTTCTTTTCTGATCCCAAAAACTTGAAATTTCATTAGGAACACATTTTACATATCCTACAGTCAGAAAGCAAGGCTGTTTTGGAGCATTATACATGTTCTACTCACCCTGGAAAGTCAATGAATCATTATATTTTCAGGGGTAATTATTTTTATTTCGATGACAGCTTCAAGTTTGAATTTGTTTTTATATACAGTGTGACTGTGTCACCTACTGGTGAATTAAATGCGTATTTAAGAACAGAAATTGGAATAATAATCAATGGCCAAGCAGTAGGAAACAGACGTTATAATTCTGAATCTAGGGCGAGAAAACCTACTTCAACAATGCAAGTTTACTCCAAAGGATTTATAAAATTATACTGAATGTCTGTATTTACTGCACAGGATTTATAAAATTATACCGAGTGTCTGTATTTACTGCATAGGACTGACAGAGTTCTAATGAGTGTTTGTATTTACTGTACAGGATTTACAGCAGTTCCAGTGAGAGTCTGTATTTACTACACAGGATTTACAGCAGTTCTAGTGAGAGTCTGTATTTACTGCACAGGATTTACAACAGTTCTAATGTATGCGTATATTTTCTATACAGGATTGACAGTAGTTCTAGTGAGTGTCTATATTTACTGCACAGGATTGATCGTAATTCTAGTGAGTGTCTGCATTTACTGTACAGGATTGACAGTAGTTCCAAGGAGTGTCTGCATTTACTGTACAGGATTGACAGTAGTTCCAAGGAGTGTCTGTATTTACTGTAGAGGATTGACAGTAGTTCTAATGAGTGTCTGTATTTACTGTAGAAGATTGACAGTAGTTCTAATGAGTGTCTGTATTTACTGTAGAGGATTGACAGTAGTTCTAATGAGTGTCTATATTTACTGTACAGGATTTACAGTAGTTTTAATGAGTGCCTGCATTTACTGTACAGGATTGACAGTAATTCTAATGAGTGTCTGTATTTACTGTACAGAATTGACAGTAGTTTTAGTGAATGTCTGTATTTACTGTACTGAATTGACAGTAGTTTTAGTGAGTGTCTGCATTTACTGTACTGAATTGACAGTAGTTTTAGTGAGTGTCTGCATTTACTGTACAGGATTGCTGGGGTTTTAACGAGTGTCTATATTTACTGTACAGGATTGACAGTAGTTCTAGTGAGTGTCTGCATTTACTACACTGGATTGACTACGTTCTCATGGGTGAGTGAACGTTCGATCGACGTGTCCAGGTTTGAAAAAGTAAAAGCGAATGAGCTCATCAGTGCAACATCGTTTAGCACAATCGAGGAATCAGTATGATATATGCTTTAGAGGGAGGACTGACTGCTAGACGAGATACCGCTGTGGTATCGGATTCTGCTGTTTGATCAGATGTTGATCCGCTGCGAGGATTCTGATCAGTTACTTTCAAAAATAAACTAAAGCAACTATGAATTGGTTAGCAGTAAGTCTTGATCTAAATCTCGTAGATCATCTCAGAAACCTCCATGGTGGTTATGTACATTAATGCTTGGGGAGCACTGGCGGAAGAGTAGAAGAGGATAGCCCAAAATGTCGGCAGCTGTTTGATGCAGATCATGATTGTTGCCGAAAGTATGTGTGTATGAGAGAGAGAGAGCATGCAGGTCACTGAGCGTCTCTCTTTTTTTCCTAGCTGAGTCTTTTACAGACAAGCTGATTCAGTTAGACCCTACCTCTGAATACCTTGAACTTTTGGGTATTCATATTCTATACAATACAACTAGCGATATATTGTCAACGAAACTAGTCATTAACTCTATTCAAAGGTTTATAAAATTGAACACGTTATAATTTAGTCCTGTTATTCCCTTGGTTGTAGAAGAAAAATCAAAATATTGTTCATTTAATTTTTCGGACTAACTGATAATTGCAGTGGAAATGTATAGCATATAACAAAGTTTAAAGCAGTTAATTAGTACAGTACATCACGAGGGGGGGACAGGGGCGTCAAACTTTCTGGGAAGTAGTATAACATATTTCATTGCATTGAAGTGTACAGCTTATAAATATCGGGATTTCATAGATAACATTTATGTTTTTAGACATACGCTTATGACGACATTTATTTAAATCTAGAAAGCTGCGCTTATAAAACAGAGAACTAATTAGAGAAGACTTATTTGGCCAGGTTTCAGTGACTCTCTGTTCGAAACGAACGTACAGTTGCATAGCACACAAAATGCAGTTTCGTGGAGATGAAAAACAAATCTAATATTATGTCTGTGTGTGTGTGTGTGTGCCAAGTTACACATTATTGGTAAAGTGGAGCTTGACTCCCAAACATATGTTGATGAAAAACAAAGCTAATTTTATGTCTGTGTGTGTGCCAAGTTACACGTTATTGGTAAAGTGGAGCTTGACTCCCAAATATATGTTGATGAAAAACAAAACTAATCTTATATGTGTGTGCCAAGTTACACGTTATTGGTAAAGTGGAACTTGACTCCCAAATATATGTTAATGAAAAACAAAACTAATCGTATGTGTGTGTCAAGTTACACGTTATTGGTAAAGTGGAGCTTGACTCCCAAACATATGTTGATGAAAAACAAAACTAATCTTATGTCTGTGTGTGTGCCAAGTTACACGTTATTGGTAAAGTGGAACTTGACTCCCAAACCTATGTTGATGAAAAACAAAGCTAATCTTATGTCTCTGTGTGTGTGCCAAGTTACACGTTATTGGCAAAGTGGAGCTTGACTCTCAAAGATATGTTAAAAACTCTTGGTATAGAAAATAGCAATCAATTTTGTAAAGACAAGTATTCTGTTCAGAGTGTTAAGAACCTAATGACTAGCTCCACAGAATCATAATCAATTTTGTGACAGAATATCAAAAAACTGGGTCTGCTGTGGAAGGTAATTTTAAACCAAAAAGTTTTTCAGCTGTAAGGTATCAACACTTACCGACATAAGGTGAGAGATATACAGGCGGAGCCCAAAGGAGGTAACATAAGTAGCATGATACAAAAGCAAAACTAACTATCAAAAGCAGGAGGTCTCGGAACGGACGACAACGGAAGAACGGACGGCTTCTCATGGTGGAGGCGTATTTTCGGCTCATCTGCAAAATATGAAACACAAATTAAGCACTTAATAATAACATAACATCTCCGTGCACAGAATATGTCAATCTGAAACGCACTTACTGCAATGACGTAATATCCGCAAATAATAGCAAAACACTGTAGTCATTTATTACAGAGTAAGCACTTGGTAACAGCATAATACCTTCCTGTATTTGAGGACTTTTAATCACTTGCCAACAGGCTTACATATATTGAGGCGCTAGCACATACCGGAAGAACGTTTCACCCCCATTTACTGGAGGGGTTAAAAAATTAACAAAGTTATGTCCACACGTATGGAAGACCTGAATGACAACGTTATATCTCCATTTACTAGACAACTTTAAACAGTTAGCAATAATGTAACATTTCAATTTGTTCAGAACTATAGAAGCTTAGTAACAAAGTTGCATTTCCACTTGGAGGACTTTAATCACTTTGTTTGTAATTAAGCACAAAGCTACATAATGGGCTATCTGTGCTCTGCCCACCACGGGTATCGAAACCCGGATTCTAGCGTTGTAAGTCCGCAGACATACCGCTGTGCCACTGGGTGGGGGTGATAATCACTTGGTAGCAAATACTAAGAATATTACACCTTCATGTGTTGAAGATTTTAAACACTTAGCAAAAAGAAAAAGAAAAGGAGATTGAACGTTAATAATAATGTAATAGCTCCATGTTATAAACAAATGTCTGAGTTTCAAATATTTCATCTCCTAACATAAAGCGAAGAATGTAGGTTGGTCCTGTGGTAGAACTTTGGATTTCGGAACTGGTAAGCCGCGTTCAAATACGTGCAATACCACAAAATTTCTCCGCACTGTAAGTTTTGGGTGCGTTATAAGAATGACAGTAAATGCATCAGCGTGGATGATAGTGGTAGGGTGCTGCTGTTTGGTTGCTTTCCCTCTGGTCAGTAGTTGTTCAAAATTAGGTACATCGGCAGATTGATAGCCTTAGTAGCTTTACGATAAACACAAAATATAAATACAAATATATAAAGTGTATATTAACACTTACATCGAATAATTTGATTTGATTGCCATTATCAAGTGGAGTTTTACAGCACACACTTACATTCTTCATTGCTTCTTCTATTACATATACATGTTGATAAACATGTCTGACTAGCCAGCATGTTCGAAATCTAATCTCAACAACGCATTTAGAGAAACAACAAAGATTTCATGAGTATGTTTTACCAGTCATTTTATGCTACCAAATTTAACGTTCAGCTTAAGCTGTATGTTTCACAACATCAAATTTTATGCCACCAGAGTTAACGTTCAGCTTAAGCTGTATGTTTCACAACATCATGTTATATGTTTGTTAGTAAATTCTGCGAATAAGATAAAAGATAAAGAAATACTGCAAGTTTTGACAATATCTAATGGATTTGATTTTCGTGACATAAACTGCTTGTCAGACACTAGTGTTGTTGTTCTAATAGAGAAACACACAAACAAACGAACAAAAAATTCAAATCTAAAACAAATGTTTAAATAAGAAAAAATTGTATAGTTTGGAAGAAGCCAATACAGGTTATGTGTACAATCATATTGTTCCATTATAACAGGTTATGTGTACAATCATATTGTTCCATTATAACAGGTTATGTGTACAATCATATTGTTCCATTATAACAGGTTATGTGTACAATCATATTGTTCCATTATAACAGGTTATGTGTACAATCATATTGTTCCATTATAACAGGTTATGTGTACAATCATATTGTTCCATTATAACAGGTTATGTGTACAATCATATTGTTCCATTATAACAGGTTATGTGTACAATCATATTGTTCCATTATAACAGGTTATGTGTACAATCATATTGTTCCATTATAATTTAGTAGAAACAACTGGTAATGACGAAATATTTCTCCTCGTGACGCTAGGCACTGAAAAGCCGTACTATAGTTACGTTAAGGAGTAGTTGAGAAGGCTAATCAGTTGTCATCTGAATATGCTAAGAAATACTAAACAATTCAAGTAAACTAACCGTGATGAGTGTCGAATGGTACAATACATATTCTAGTCTGGCGTTTAATGCATGAAATTTTCATGGACAATTGATCAGACATTCAATACACTTGGTTACTTTAGTACCATCACGGAACACAAGTACGCCAGTACAAATATTGCGTAATATATACATAATAACCGAAAGTTAAATCACCCTTTGGATTTACAGTTTTAAGTGTATTGTGTTATTTGAATGTTAACTTTAAAAGTGGATTAGAATATTCAGAAACCGAATCGTATTTACACGTTAACATATAATTTTACCTAAATGCAGACCAGACCAATATTCATTAAAACACTCATTTTCGCACTCGTTGGTCTTCAGTCTGGAACACGGAAAGATCATTATTTCATTTACAGAATAAAGTAGGAAGACAAAAAATTACAATTTCACGTGAAAACAAACTAATAGAAATCTATAAGCGGCGTGATGTCACATTTCACTTCTTGATGCATAGAACCCCAAAATATCAACAAACGCATAAAAATAGCATGGTAATGAGTTGATTGAAAACATGTGGTTCCTACCGAACGTATATTGACCGGTATGTGATCTAACATTTAAAATGTTCTCCATGCGCACTTTCGAAGCAGGTTAAATCTTCAGGCGAGCAAACTGGTTACAAGCAAATAAGCTTGTCCGTTACATTTGAGAGCAACCACGGAAAAGGCACATAAAAGAGCCATTTTGTCATTTGAAATTTTTATAAGTTTGATTTCTGTGGTCTGCGTCTGATATAGGAAAAACTTAGACAGTATAACCTCCTAAAGTACAATCTTAGACAAGTAGAGACTAAAGTGATGTAAAATAAGAAAGTTAAACATTGCAATTACTAGTAATGATACATATATTATAGGTGGAAAAACTTTATAGAGTAACGAACTTTAGGACCTAATTGACGAACTACGAATCAGCAGAAAGTCATAAAGTAAGAGAAACAACTAGAATGTGATATATGATAAAAATATAACATAAATCTCAGTTAATGAAGATGAACATCAGAAAATGAATCATTTATAAAAAAAAAAAGCTCAAGAAATGCCAAATGGTTTCAGCGAGTAAAACACATTGTTACTTTTGGATTAAAAGTGTCCCCATTAATGTTCATTATCGCTGTTTTACCTAAAGATTTATAATAACATTTCATTCGACAGAATGATAAACGGTACTTATATTTTCGTAGGTAACTATTCCATTTGTGTCAGAATAATTATTTTATTGCCAAACAGATACTACAGACACTACATAACCCACACACATTTCGAGGAAAGTGAAGCTGTATGCTGTGTATAAATCAAGAAATATAGGACAAAATTTCCGCATTAATATAATAATTGGGAGAAAGGACACTGAGTACTCAACGTCATAAAAATAACTTGTTTAATTTGCGTAATTCATGATAGCATATTTATCCTGGTTCAGATTTTCCTCACCGAATAAATATGTTTTCTCGTTAACACTGAACACAATTACATGGAAATGGTTCCAGTTTAATGTCCTATACACTTAGAGACGGAAGACAGTTTAAGCAGCTCGTGGTCTTCTTACATTAATTAAGACACTAGGAGGGGGAGACGCTAGGCAAACTTGGACCGTTTGGAATAAATTAGGTTGTTCAAATTGACTAATTAACTAGCCATGAATAGTTTTGTTATTTAAATAAATTTCTCCCTCGTGAATTAGGGTTACATTTAGGGTCGTTAACTAACGTCCAACTACGATGTAGTGTTGTGTATTCAGTTACTCCAACAGACAGACAGACAGACCATCTGATAATGTCACACTGACCCTATACGACAAATTTCTCTCATCTTTTGTAAGTACTTCTATTTACACCTACGCTGTCGTAATCCAAAATCACTTTTGAAGTCACAATTTTCCTCTTGATTATAGTATTCTTGGAGTACAATGGCAATATTATTAGCTCTAGTGCTTCTTTAGCAGAGCTTTGACGCTTTGCAGTGTAACAAAATATAATTAATTTGTGACATAAATATTTCTCTCTACTCGTTGATCCAAAACATTTAGGAAAAACATTTTTTTTTGTAAAAATGGTTGGCCATTTTTTGGAAGCTTATAGTTGTGATTAAAATACATTAAATATAAAACTGGTAATAAGCTATCAAAAGATTAACCTCTACGAAGAAATATCTGCTGTAAAGAAGTTTCGCAAATGGTAGATTAAATAAGACCAGTCCATTCTCTTGCTTTTAAAATCATAAAGGTGAAACAGGAAACTCGAAGAAGATTTTTGAAGACGAAGAGTTTTGTACGCGGATAAAGAACATTTCCACAAAACTGAAAAAAAAGTGTTAAATCAATAAAGAAAAATCTCAGCGATTCGGCTCTGTGGGTTCGTGTTGTCAGAACACCATACTCAATCTAGCTTACACGTGTGCGTGTTGAAGGATTTTCGTTTCTTACAAAAACACCTGTCAAATGTTCTCAAGACTCTTGTGCCATGAGCAGGCGTATACTTTTGATCTTAAGTGTTAGCATTGTTGATTGCAAGAACGTTAGGCCTAGTTAGTGCCAATACCGGCGATTTTTTTATATTTCTTTCCGAAGAAGCTAGTGACAGAATAATAACTTTCCTCTGGACACAGATGTCGATTGGGAGCGAAAGCTATAACCAAATTGGTAAGAAAATTATATCGTGTCCAGTGTGCTTGTGGTCGAAGTGTGCCATTAGAGTAACTCTCGTTAATTAAGTTGAGAACTTGAAAGATACAGTTTAGTAAATTAATTGAATTTGCTACGAGTTTAATCAAACATATCATTTTATGATTCGTAGTCTCCAAGCTAAGAAATTACTAAAGAAAATTAGAAATTTTAAGGTTATCACCAATAAAATCCTGTGTTCATTATTCAGAAAAACGTAGGGGCTCTCATGTTTCAATAGATTAAAAAAAATTAAAGACTTATATATTAAATAGTAGAAAACAAAACACAATTTAATTTA